TCTCTCTCTTCATTTTGATCTTGGTTTAGTGAGACCCAACCCTTGTGCCGTCATTAAAGTGGTAGAGCTCTTCAAGACCTCCATTTTGATCTGAAAAGTTGTGGGTTTGGAGCACCTTTGAGTTTCTTCATCATCTCCTTGGGTCTCTTCACTTGAGGTAAGGATAACCTACTCATTTCTATGAGTTTTGACATAGATGTTATATATTTTGTATAGATGGTGTTGTTTGGATAACTTGGGAAATTTAGGGTTTTGAAAATGAAACTATAAAAGAGGGGTTTTCTATTTTTGGGGTTCCAAGTGTATGAGTGGTCCCTAAAATGAAGTTATGGTGTTTGATTGATGAAATTTGGCCTTAGGAGCAATATTTGAGAAAAGGGGAAAAAAGTCCTAACTTATTATGATTGATTAATTTGTATAATTAATTTGGGGAAAGTTATGGGAATATGAACTTGAGTTGCAAACTATGAAATTGGGAAATTATGGGATTGAATGATGGAGTTGGATTGATTAGTCACTCACCTTTGAAATTTTAGATAATTTATCTGTTTGATAATTTATTATCTGTTTAGAAATAATTGTTTTGGGCTATCGGTGGAGGATAGTCTTGATTGTTGTAAACACTGCATGATGATTAGGTGAATTAAAACTAATCAATTGGGTATGTCATTGAATATGACGGATGGAATAACACATTGAATATGTGCTTTGCTTGATCATTGTATATGATAAGTGTTTAAATTCATTGTATATGTATATTGTTTGGGAGGAGATAGAGGATGTACTCCACGATTTGGGAAGAGATAGAGGATGTACTCCTAAACCAGTTTGGGAGAAGATAGGGGATGGACTCCAGTGATAACTAAGTTGGCCGGAGTGTCTAGGGTGAAAGTCCGGAAATCATAATTGCGTTTGCATAACGTAGATGAAATGAAGTATTGAAATGATGATAACATGAATTGTAGTCTCATATTAAGTGATCATGATCGAAGTATTGTTAATATGAGTTGTAGTCTCATTATAAACTGTCTGGATGAATAGAGAACCATATCTATGAATTGGTTTGGATAATGAAATAAAAAGGGATTGAAATATATTTGTGAATATGGATTGGTTATGAAAGAGATGCACGTTTGTTTATATGAGTTAAACATTTATCAAATGTTAATGTTTTAATTATTGTTCATATTTGTTTTAGCGTAACTCTACTGGGCTTTGGCTCACCCAACATGGGACATCATTTTCAGGTTCAGGTGATATGCCGCCTCCAAGAATGTAGCTTGGGAGGTTGTAGAAGCCGAAGGCTTACTTTTGTGATTATCTTTTGTATTACATATAATTCAAGCCAAGGGCTTAATGTGTATTGAGTTAAAACTCTCTTTTTGTAACCAAGTGTTGGCTTGGAAAATTGTAAGCCCGTAGGGCATTTACTTTTGTTGTCAACATGTAATACTTTTGTACTTAATACTCTGATAAATGGAAACATGCTTTATTCTCTTATGTCTTTAGTTATCATAAATATTGGGTTTATATGTATTATTTTGAGGGCGTTACAACTTGGTATCAAAGCGTACCGGGTTTGAATACTTTGGGTACGTGAGAAGTGGTTAGTACCACAATGGGTTTATCTTGCTTGTTAGAGACTTATGTATGATGTTATGTGCTTATGTGATAACATGTTTACATGACTATTTGGGTATGGGATTTAGTTTCTAGGATGTTGATTGGATCCTTAGGTTTCTGTGAGTCTTATTGGAAAAGCACTTGATCAATGCTGTTTCTAACCGGAACTCTAGTAACGCCTCGGGACTATCATTATCTAGAAATGAAATTCGTAGGTGCTTATGTGATTATGTGCTTACGTGGAATGAATTACAGTTGTCCATTGCATTAGGACGCGAGTGTTATAGCTTCAGCACATTTGTGAATGTGCTAATGTTCTTCGTTACCTTTATTAGGATGTCAGGACGAGGACGTGGTGGTAGGCGAGGCAGGCAACTGCACCAACTCCAACCCTAAAACAGATGCAAATGCAGCAGATATAAAATAATGAGATTGCACCCGTATCAATCAACACATTGCAACCGAGTTGCAAAACAGAAAGGTACCTCTCAAAACAGATGGAGCCGGTACAAGATCTGCGCTGTAACAGCATACACGCGCCCTGTAGGTCTCTGATCTACCTGCTCACCTCTCAGAGCAAAAGACTACTTGCACAGACTGGCGAAGAGGCTCCCTGATTGCCTCGAGGCCTAAACTGCTGAGTTGGCTGATGACTTTGCCTCGACCCAGATTGTACCAGATGTGCCACTCAACTGCGGGCAAAACCTTCTTCAGGTGCCCGCCTGACCACGCTGGTAACAAGAGAGCGCTGGTCCCGCCCTGTCTCTGGCTCTGAGACGAGTCGAAGATGAAGCTGGTCTCTGCTCTCCTCCCTTCTGCGGGCAAGCTGGAGACTTTGTGCCAGCTGACCACACTTGTAACAGGTAAAGTCTCCCTGATTGCTTCTCTTAGAGCCTGAACTCGGCACTGGAAAAGTAGATCTCGCAAACGCACCCTGGGACTGCTGAGGTTAGGATTCCTCTGCCTCAACCGTCCCTCTGACCATCCTCACTCCTCTTGGAGCCCCTCATCCTTTCCTCCTCCTCATGCATAATAATCTCAAGATGGCCGCAGCCTCCACAAGGCGCCCATACTCCCGAGTCATGGACTCAGCAACCCTAAGCTTGAGCCCGGTCCTAACTTATTTTCCAACTCAAGACAACGGCGTTCCTCAGACGCCACAGCTCAGGTGCAAACCTTGATAAACTGGTAATTGCGACCTCAAACTCAGCCACTGGCGTATTCAGCTGCTTGAGCTGATAAAACTGATCCCTCAACTTCTCCCTAACAGTGGGAGGCAAAAACTTTTCCTGGAAGGCATTAACGAAAGCCGCCAAGTCCCTCAAATATGACCTCGAACAAACTTCCACTACTGACCCGCGTCTTCCTTCAGCTAGAAGGATGCCAAGGTCACCCTCAAGGCTCCGTCTTCGATGCCTAACATCTCAAACGTCTTCATTATCTGCTCAAGCCATTCATCGGCCTTAAGTGGCTCTTTAGGATCCCCCAAAAACTCATCCGAATTAGACCGAAAAAACTCTCTCTCAGAAAAAAACGCCCCGCCTCAGCTACATGGGCCTGGACTTGATTCTCCGCCCTGAGAATGTCCATGGATTCCCTCAAAGCTCCTGCCATCTCACGGGCTAAGGCGCATATGGCCTGCTGACCTAATGGCTCGACCACGTTGGCTTGACCAACACCCTCTTGCTATACCGGAATTTCATCCGTATAGGCATCT